TCATATTTTCAAATTATATAGGATTGTAAATTTATTACAGAATCTTTAAATGATACTAATTTAGCTGCAAGCCCAAATACTGATAATTATTTTGCACAATATGAAATAATAACTGTTGATCAGCATAATATTGATGATAACCCTCAAGCTAATAGTATAGGTAATATAATAAAATACAATATTTGTTTTTTTATTAATATTATTTAATTATCAAATCTATGAAAATTAAAATATTTTCAGAAAATTATGAAGTTATTAATAATAAGTGAAAAAAAGAAAAGTAGAAAAAGGAAGAGAAATACAGAACAGTGGAAAAGAAATAAAGCAGCTGCACTAAGATCTAGGGGTGAAGAATACATGTCACAAAAAGGAGTTATTATTCCRGCCAAATCAGTTAACTTAGGTATACTATGTTCAAAATCATGTCGTTTTAAGTGCAGTACAACTATAGACACAGAAACTAGAAAACAATTATTTAATTCATTTTACAAAATAGAAATTAATGTGAAAAATTCTTATCTTTKCAAAAGTATAAGACAAATTGAAACTTCTCGTATTACAAAAAATCCAAAGAAAGTGCGTTCATTTACATATCAAAATTTTATCAAAACATTTAATACTGATATTCGTGTTTGCAAAACTGCATTTTGTGAAATATTTCAAATTGGGAGAAAGAAGGTTGAATTACTACAAAACAAATTAAAATTGATGTATCTCCACAAGCAGACAAAAGGGGAAAGCATTTATCTCGACCGCATAAAATGTCTGATRAAGTGATGCAATATATCAGTAATCATATTGAAAGTTTTCCTGCTGAAAGTTCACATTACCTACTCTAGAAACAACAATCCCAATAGAAAATATTTGTCACCACTATTACATATAAAAAAAATGTATTCATTGTACAAAGAAAAATGTGTTAATGACAATAAATCAGGATGTTATAGTATTAAAGATAGTACTTACAGAAAAATATTTTGTGAAAATTTCATTTTAAACTTTGGTAGTCCTAGGAGTGATACGTGCAGTAGATGTGATGCTGGCGAATCTAACAATGCAGCACATGTATCATTTTATAAAATTGCCTATGAAACTCAACGAAAAGATCGAGAAAATGCTATAAATAATCATAAAATCTGTTATATTACCATGGATCTACAACAAACAATGACTCTACCTAAACTATCTACATCAAAGGCATTTTACTTGAGGCAATTATGGTTTTACAATTTTGGTATTCATACTATCACTGCCAAGGGCCATAAACCATATATATTTACTTGGACTGAGGACTTGGCCGGAAAAGGTAGCAATGAAATTGCAAGTTCTTTATGGTATTTTACCCAACTTTCCAAAAACACTACGTTACAAGATGTGGATCACTTAGTTATATGGTCAGATTCATGTGCTGGTCAAAATAAAAATTGTAATATTATATCATTATACCAG